TATATTAAATTCTACCTTTTATATTGGTTTACTTTTTGCAAAGTGTAATTTCATGTTAAATAAGGTATACTTACCATCACCTTCAATTAACTATTCACTTCTTTTGCTCTACAGTAATTAGGACTGTCAACAAACTCCAAAAGTCCAATATCTGATTCCACATCCGATCTGATTATTCCGAATTCGAATGATGCATTTATATAATTGGATCGAATTTGGATTTTATAATCTTCATTCGACTAATAATTAAATCAAATACATATTTGACTTCATCTGATTCAATTAAAATCTAAATTCGTTTATATCATAATATTTATTGATTCAATATATAAAAAATTATATAAGTATATTTTAAATTATATATATTTTTTTTTACATTAATTTATTATATGAATTGAAAATAATTAACCTTTTAAATATATATATATATATAAGGAGAATCAGGTTAAATCCAAATCCGATCCGATTACATTAAGATTCAAATTTAAATACAATGGGATTTGGGATTTGGGATTTGGATTCGAATGTCATATTTCAATAATAGGGTTCGGGTCGGATTAGTTAAATCCAATCCGCTTACAGCAGTAACAGACTAACAGTAATGACTAATGATCCCATACCTGAATTTCACTCTTGACAATGTTGGGCTCAAGCCCATTAAAATTCCAAGAATACTCTGTCAAAGAAATCAACTGTAACTCTGTAAGGGAATACAACTTTTTTAAGCTCATGGAGGATCTACCATGTCGGTCACTTAAATGAGCCCATTTTGGTTGCCACCTAGCTGCCAAGTGGGAAAAAAATTGCTAATAAGGACTCCTAGGCATGGCTTGTCTGGACTGAAAAGCAGATAGATAGGAGATCAAATCAGTCCCCCACAATGTCCCACAGTACATCCCTGTCGTGTATTGGGAACATCTCTCGATGATAATATTATCATTTCTCATATTATCATAACGAGATAATCCCAATACACGGTGGGGATGTGTTGTGGGACGTTGTTGGGGGCAATTGTCACCTCAGCTACCAACAGTTGCAAGCAATATCAGACTTGTATAGTCAGTCAGTGCTCTGTACTTAGATACCCATAAATAGAGGTGTCAATTGGACGGATTTGGTCCAACCCGATCTAGTCCAATGTGAGTCCACTTATAAATGGACTGGACCCAATCCAGTCCAAATCCAATCCAATCCATTAAAATGTAAATGTACTTTTGTAGACTTTTATAGAAGTACTTTTGTAAAAGTACTCTCGTAAAAGTGCTTTCATAAAAGTACTTTTATAAAAATACTTTCTTAGAAGTGCTTTTATAAAAGAGCTTTCATAAAAGTAATTTTGTAAAAGTTCTTTCATAAAAGTGATTTTCTAAAAGTGTTTCCATAAAGTGCTTTCGTAAAAGTACTTCCTATCGACACAATTTTCGTGTATTTCAATTAACACAAAATATGGAGACAAATTACAAAATGAATTTGTAATAAAGAAAGATACAAGGGAATGAACTCTCTTTGGTTTTTGCTCGATGACATGAGCAACCTCTGATTAACGGTTGAATTTGGTGAAGACGAGGGTCGTTGGCGTGTTTCTCGTACTTCTTGAAGTGTTGATGTAGATTTCCTTGATTTTAGTGCTTTGGGAGATTTGATGTAGGTTTCTTCACTCTGAGCTTCGCGCTTGATCCGTTGTAAAAGATGTTTCTCTAAGAAGGCCCCTTTAGTGATGGCTTGATCTTCTTGGGAGAGCTTGAATCCGAGTGTGTTGTTGAAAATGAAGAAGTTTTTCTCTTCTTTCTTCTCTCTTGATCTTACAGCTGTTGGAGTTTGCAAGAGCTTGTAATTGCTTGCAATCCTCAAGTGTTGGTGTGTAAGAGCTTCTTGCAATGTGATTGTTGAAAGAAAATGGAGCTCTTTCTTCCTAAGCAAGGCTATTTATAGCCAAGGATTAGGACTGCCACCTCAGCCCACTTAGCTAACCAATCCCATGTGAGTAGGGGTGTTGGGTCAGGATTAACTCCCATGCATACACCATTATATAAGAGTTAGTGGTCTTGCCAATGGGACCACCCTATTACAATAGAACATGGGCCTTATTGGACTTAGTACACTTGGATCCTTGGGCCATTAAGTCATATTAATGTAAACTAGGGCCTTGGGCCCATGGAGGCCCATATTAATTTAGAGGCTATTATGTAAATTAAGCCCATTTATTTGGCTTAAAAACTCACATATTACATGTCCGTAAAAGTTTTTTTTATAAAAGTGATTTCATAAAAGTTCTTGTGTAAAAGTACTTTTGTAAAAGTGCTTTTATTAAACTGATTTTGTAAAAGTACTTTTATAAAACTACTTTTGTAAAAGTGTTTTTATAAAAGTACTTTTGTAAAAATGCTTTCATAAAAATATTTTTATAAAAGTGCTTTTGTAAAAATACTTTTCATAAAATTAATTTTATATATAAGTGCTTTTATAAAAATGTTTTCGTAAAAGTGCTTTTGTAAAAGTACTTTCATAAAAGTGATTTTATGTTGTTTTCAGTTTTGATTGATTTCAAATTGGACAAGTGTTTGGCCTCATGGTCGGATTATTAGAAATTTGGTTTAGGTCTAATTCAAACCAATAAGAATATGGACCAATTTATTTTGGATTGGCCCAATCCAATAATTATAATGGACTGTCTAAATCCGATTTGATAAAGTTTGGATCGGATTGGATCCAAACCAAAACTGGTCAATTGACACCTCTACCCATAATTCTTACAACGGCGCGTCTAGAAGAAAATTATCTCTCCCTCCTTCCTATGATTCCGAATCTGCTCCTCACAAGAGCTGGTTGCGCCATGCATCTCTAGGTTCATGTGGGAGCAAAACACGAGCAGAGGGGGAGCATGCGTCATTAATGTAGCAATCACATTCAATATCGACATGATATGTCCAATACAGGGCATATCGTATCGGTATCGGCCAGAGGGGATATGGGATACGCTATGACTAAACCTGTATCCCTTGAATTGTGCATATCGTAGTGGTACACCTTCATATCAGCTCGCGTCATGATGTATCGGAGCGACGCACCGATACGGATCGACATGTTTCTTGCTCATACGTGATTATTTGTGAAAAATTACGCCTGGCATGATTTGAACACAAATCACTCATCGTTCAAACCTTAACTACACACTTGATCCACTAAGCTAATTTCTATTTTATGAAATTTAATGAAATAAAATAACTTTTTTCTATTCTAGTGTTCACATGTAATGTAGAAAAGTTACATTTGTGTTTAACAATTCCAGCAAAATAAAAAAAAACAATATTCAAAACTAATATTTTATAAATTAATAGAATAAATAATTCCTTAAATCCACATTTATATACAAAATTTGTTTAATCTCAAGAAATTTATACAAAAAAAGATATTAATAATACAATAATTATTTTAGTACTTAATATTTATAAATTTGAACATGACATGTATCTTAAAATTTTATAAATTATTAATTAATATTTTAATTTGAACTAAATAAAAGTATATATATTATTTATAAAAAATAATATTTACAAAAACCTCGAGAATATAATATAAATTGAATTTGTCGAATCCATTAATCTACATTTATATCAAAAACTGATTTTTTATCTCAAAATTTATGGAAATAAAAATATTAATAATGGAGTAATTATTTTAGTAGTTAAAAATTATGAATTTGCATATGATGTGTATCTTAGAAAATTAAAAATAGTAATTCACATATAATAGTTGCATATGTTTTGTGCCTTGAAATTCAATAGAAAATAACATATAATAGCTTTGTGCATCTATTAATTTTTAAAAAATATATATATAATATGTTCAAGGATTCTTGATTGATACAATATCAATAAAATTTTATGATTTTTATGCATCCCACTATATTAATTGTAGTATATTTCTTCATATATACCTTTAGAATATACATTTTCTATGTATCTATACATTAATTATGGCTATTTTGATCTTAAAAATAATGTTATTAATATATTTATGAAATTTATATGCATTTTTGGCATATCCATATTATTTCATCCCTATCAATCCGTTTCCAAAGCTTATCCATATCCAAGTAATCCAATTACAATCACATCTTCAGTCGTAACTAATGAGACGAGACTCCCCTTGTACTTTGTTTTGCGATAAAGACCCCCCTATACTATGACCGTGAGACAAAGACCCCCTTAACCGTTAAGTTAGAGAATAGAATACATTAAATTACCAAAATACCCCATTAAACCTTTTTTATTTTCATTTTTATACCCTTTTTCTCTTAAAACCTATTTAACCCATTTTTCATCTTCCTTTTCTTCTCTTCTCCATCTTCAATCACGTCTCTATAGCCGTTATCGACGGAGTGGGTGCCCTTCAGATGGTCAGGGAACGACCCCTACATATGGACCGGCATTACCTGCGACAACGCCAACCAAGTCACCGGCATCAACCTTCGCAAGAATTCTATCGGCGGTTCTCTCCCTCCAGATCTTAATCAACTCACCCAGACTGATCTGTTAGAGAGCAGTAAATTTCACACTTGATCTGTTTAGAGAGCTGATTGGGAAGAAATTGTAGAAATATGGTGCGAAAGCTCTCTGTGTTGGGGAAGGATCAGATTTGGTTGTTTCTACTTTACGGGAATTAGGGTTCCTGGATGCTCTTGGTGTCGAAAGACACTTATTTTTCTCTCTAATGAGGAAAAGTTTTACTTACAAGTTGGAGTTCAAGGACAATTCTTTTGATTTTGTTTTTTCCAGAGCTCTCGATAGGGTATCTGTACCTGCTCTTCTCGTGTTCGATATTGAGCGTGTTTTAAGACCAGGTGGTGTTGGATCTGTGCTTGTGGATATCACTAGTTCTAACACTGGTGGTCTTATAAAATCGGCTACCCCCATTTCCTCCTTCCTGAAAAGTTCCATGTCATCAAGTGTGCAGAATCAATTCCTTTACGCTGGTCGTATTCAAGAAAAGATTTGAGTGTGTCAGCTCCTTGAAAAACTACCAACTCCCTGATGAATGCCCTTCTGTTTCGAAGAACAAGCCTTTCATGGAATGCTTAGAGCTTATCGCTGATGAAAATGCGGTAGGAGCTGATAAAAATATTTCTTATTTATCGAGTTTCATGGATATCTCTTCTAGGAACAACTTAATCTATATTGATGTAAGAGCAGGGGAATCCATAAAATTCAGAATTATCAACGGCTCTCTATCCTTCTATCCCACACAGTCTCGAGCCTTTAATGTTTACATTGTCGACCATGATACATCTGTCCTCTCTTCCTATGTGAAGAAACCTGCTATTACTTTTGTTTAGCACCCAGGCTTGGCTGGGAATAAGGTCACTGCTAGTTGTGTTAGAGATTTGACCCTGTTGTCAGATGATGGGTTTGATTTTCTTGTGTGGTTTAATGACACTGTGACAGCTGGGGATTTTGTGGTTCTAAGGATGAATGCAAGAGGGATAGAGTTGAAGCTTCTCTCTGAATTATTTGAAAGCGGAGCAATATGCCTAGTTAATTGGGCTGCTGTTATTGAAAGCAGCCTGGACATTAATGAAAGAGAAGAGAAAGGGGAAGGGGAAGAAGAGAAATCCGGGGAGAGAGAGGGAGGGGGAGAGAAGGAAAGAGAAAAATGCGAAGGAATCTACAAGGTATATTTCAACGGAAGGGGTCTTTGTCTCATAGTCATAATACAGGGGATCTTTGTGACAAAATAAAGTAGAGGAGGGTCTTTATAATTTACCTTTTTTGTTTTTTCCTTTTTTCTTTTTTACCTGTCCAAATCTCTCATCCCTATTCTTTTCTCTTCGATTCAAACCCTTTTTTTCCTTCAGGTCAGGACCCAAACCTCTCTATCTCTTCGGCAGGAATTAGTCTCACCGGCGAGAATAGACACCAACGAATTGATTCGAACGATTCATATCTAGTAAATCTCTCTCAAAATCCTAAGAATTAAAGGCTGTTGAGAAATCTCTCTCATGTTGGGTTTTTTTGTTTTTCTCTTTTTCAACTACAGAGTACTCCCATTGACTAACTATTTCCAGAATCTCATCTCGCAGATGACCGCCGAAAATATGATTGCAACCAGTGGAGGGACGGAGGACTTTAGTCCTGATATGATGAAGAAGTAGACACTTTATTACCCATCACCTTTGACCTTTCAAAGACGCAGCACACCTATCCTACTGCACTTCTATGTGGCGACACCAAAGCATACATTCATATAAGAATTGAGATTTCAGACAACCTACTTAACCCAATACAGTGTCTTCTCTTCCGTATTGCTTTATCTCTCTATATTGAGCTATTTCTCTCAGTCATGGCGGCACCGTGGATGCAAAGACCTTCAGCTTTGTTATAGGTGTTGTTGTTTGTGGGTTTGTGTTGTTTTTGACGGTAGCTATTGGGTCGGAAGAAGAATTGAAATCTAAGATGTGAAGGAATTTAACAGAAGTCAGAGCGAAAAAGAAGAAGAACGAATCAGGGACAATGTCTATCCAGTGTTCTTAGAGGTTGTGAGAGCAGAGAGACAAATGGTGTCAGGGATCAATTACTATTTAAAAATCGAAGCTTTAGAAGAGGGAGACTGGGAGAGACGAAGAAGGGTATGAATGTTTTGGGCGCCAAATGCAACCCTCCGCTCGTGTTTTGCTCTCACACGAACCCGGGGACGCGTGGCGCAACCAGCCGATGTGAGGACAGTGTGAGGCGCCCCGTTGTGAGAAGCAGATCCGGACTCCCTTCCCATTCATCGACCATCGTCACTTATTCCTTCTTACGATATTAATTGTGCTGCTAAAGAAGAAGACAGTCAAGCGGAGAAAAGGAAAGATGGCGTGCGGATCATCGTCAGTGCGAGCGCTGCATCTCTTCCGATCTTCTTTCCCGCCAAATTCACCCGTCAGTTGTTCTACCCCCCACTGCAACCCTCTATTCTTCACGTCTAGTCCTTCGTCAGCTGTAGCCCTCAAAAGCAGCAGCGGCAGAGCCAAGAGAGTGCTGACAGAGAAGAGAGGGTTATTGTTGCTGGTTTGTGCGTCGAGTGAAGGTTTGGAAGTTGAGGAAAGCAACCCAGAAGAGATCATCTCTGGAGAATGGCCCGACAATTTCGCCCTTCTCAATTACGACGACTTGAGAGCTTACCTCGAGCCAGAGATCTTCAAGGAAAAGGTTTATCTTTGTCCACCTGTCTGTTGATTGGGTGATCGTTTTTTAGCTTTGTTTCATTTGGGTTTTTGGATTCCTTGTAGATGGACCCTTCTGCATTGTTGGGGGAAGTGATGTCCACCACAATTCGGACCACGACCGTTGATCAGACGTTAGAGGAGATCAATCATCACTTTGAGATTGTATCGGGGCTTCCTGTCATCGACGATCAGTTCCAGTGCATCGGTGTGATATCCAAGAAGGACAAACAGAGAGCTTCACATGGGGTTAGTTCTCTGTAGCTACACATTTTGCACCCCCTGTAATGTCATAATGACCATCCACCCTTATTTCATTCCCCATTTAAATTTCATCCGCTATGCATGCAAATAATTGGCAGCATATGTTTCGTTCTTAGGTTTTCAGATATTAGTAATTGAAGCTACACAAAAATGTTGAAACCGCATTCTCTTTTTTTTTTTTTTTTCCGACGTTATTGTATTTTGGTTGTTAATTCCTGAATCTTCTTGTCAGACATGGGTTTTAGCCCATCCCTAGGATAAGTTAAGTTTTCTTTTTGGGGATTTATCTATGCTATTGGGGGCTGTTTGTAGATTTGCATTTCTTTTTCTTTTCTTTTTTTATGGTTTAGGATTTTTTTTTTCATCAAGGGATACAGAGGTATTGGGCTACTTTACTTGGATCCAAACCTCAAAGAGGAGCTGAGTAAACGTGATCTGTGGTTGAAATTTGTTTAATTGTGAAACCTTGTTAAACGTTTTCATTTTTATTGTTAAGATATTGGGGAATGCTGTCATCTCCTATAACAGAGGCTGTATGCTTATGGCCATTTTACTTAGTATTGTGAAGGGGAAAATACCGCTGAAACACAAAATTCTGCACCTTTGCTGGACCTATAAGTCAGATTATCCCTTGAAACAGAGTCTCATGCTGTCTAACAAACTGTCCAACAAAGTGTTTAATATTGTTAGGCATCATGCCATGCATTTCAGTTTTGCATGAGAAACATTGATTGCTTCCAATGAAAAAGAGAAATGCAAGTCCCCTGGAATTTTAAACATCAAATTAGGGAAGCAAGACACCTGGTTCATATGTTGGAAGCAGAATTATCTTGGGTACTCACTACTCAGTCTGCTAACTCTTATGCTGATTCCCTAGCTCGTGTGGGAGTTAGTAGACAGTTTGTAGGTGGGGTGAATATGCATTTGGTTAAAGAGCTTCTGGTGATTGTATATTGAGGGTAGTTACTCTTGGAAAAGTGGGGGAGCAGCAATTGGCTAGCTCTAATGGCAATGTCTTATTGCATTATATACAGAATGTATATTTATATAATTCCATACTTTATATCCTGATTGATTTAATAAAGCTCTCCAGTTATTGATCAAAAAATTATATTAGCAAGGTGTTGTTTGTACCAAAAATAAATAAGTTATATTAGCATAGCTGTTGTTGCTTTCTAAGAATTCGCAGGTTGCATCAAAAGAAATTTGAGATGTCATCTCACAAACATTCATGGATGTTCTTTTACTAAGATTAACAGTTTAGTTAACTGTTAGCCATTCATTTGCCTCAGTTGAGTTATGCTTTAAACATAGATAAGTTGGATTTGTGGAGGACTTATCAGTAATCAAACAAATAGTTGTAAGAAGCTTCTATTTTATTATTTCTTAGTCCATTACACATTCTATTCATCTGTGCCATGGAAGCACTCAGCAAGCTCACAATGAAGGCTGCAGAAGGAGGATACATAAATGGTTTTAAGGCCGGTGAGAATCTTGATCCAATTCCCTTGCCCAATTTGCTGATGACACTCTTTTTTCTATCCGATGCCTCCATGGATCATGGAAAATCTGGGATATATATTGAATTGGTTTGAAGAAGTATTGGGTCTAAAGATATACCTAGTAAAAAGTGCAATTATGATGGTAGGGAGTGAGGAAATGGCTGAACAGTAGGCTGATGAGATGGGATGTAGCGCTGGCATGTTGCCAACAACTTACTTAGAGCTACCATTTGGTGTAAAGATAAGCTCAAAGAAGATATGAGATCCCATGATTGAAAGGTTTGACAAATAACTTGCTGTATGGTAAATTAGATATCTATCTAAAGGGGGTAAGCTCACACTAGGGGTGCAACTTGGGCAGCCCCAACCCGAGCCTGGACCATCCCAGCCCGAAATTTTAGGCTGGGCTTGGATCTTCGGTCCTCGGGCTGGGTTGTGCCCAAGACTTCAGGCTTTTTTATATTTTTTGCTGGGCCTGGGCCTAGCCCTTAGATAGCCCAAACCTGGTCCAAGCTCGGCCCTACCTTATCCCAACCCGAGCCTTACCCGACTATACACATTCATACACACATATATAGATATGTATAACATACATATACATGCATGCATATTTGCATAAATGCATACATGTGTAATTTTAGAGTGGGTTCATTGACCAACCCAAGCCCGGCCTGGGCTTGAGCCCAACCCGAGTGCATCAAATTACATTTCGGGTTGGGCTTGGGTTGGGGAGATTGTGCTTGACCTTGGGCTCAGGCCTTAGGCACAAATCTTAGGGTTGGGCCTGGGTTGACCATAAACCCAGTCCAGCCTGCCCGACTTGCACCCCTTACCATTAAAAGGTGCTCTCTCCTCTTTAGTCTCTCCCCATCCCCCATCTACAATCTATCATTTATTTCCCCTCCCCTCATCTAGTCATCTGTAGCTAAAATATTAGAGAAAAAGATTAGGAACTTCTTTTGGGCAGGCTGGAGAGACAATTTCAAATGTCATCTAGTAAATTGGAGTAAAGTCTGTTCAGCCAAGAAACATGGTGGTCTGGGTATAAGAAACTTGAAGAAAACCAATGAAGCACTCCTTAGGAAATTGATTTTGGAGGTACTGCAATGAAGAAGATAGCTTTTGGAGGCAGGCGGTAACAGGAAAATATCGACCCAGCAATAGAGGTTGGGATCCAGGTTCAGGTTTCTCTCCCTTGGGGTGTGCAGTATGGTGTATTATCCATAAAATATATCCTAATTTCCAAAAAGGAAACAAACATAAAATTGGTAAGGAAAACAGAGTTTTCTTTTGGACTGATAAATGGGGTCCAGATTCCCCCCTAACTGAGTTATTCCTCTCTTCATATGCAATTGCTCAAGACAAGGAAGCTCCAGTAGATGAGAATTATGAGCTAGATGATAATGGGGTAATCTGGAGACCAGCCTTTAGAAGGAACTTGAACGACTGGGAAATCAATCCCATTGCAGAGTTCCTGGGCATGCTTCATCCTATATCTCCAAGTGTTTCATCCAATGACAAAAGGGACTGGGCCTGCAACAAATCCAGACAGTTCTCTGTCCATTCTTTCTTAGCTCAGCAGCAAGATTCTTCCTTCCCATGGATAAAAATTTGGTGCTCTTGTATAACCCAGTATGGACTGCTACCCTTGGTAAATGCTTAACCACTGGCTTGCTAATCAGTAGGGGCATGAATAGGATCAATGACAGGTGCTGTCTGTGTAGTGAGTATGCAGAATCCGCAAACCATATCTTTATTCACTACAGCTTTGCTTTTCTGCTATGGGTGATCGCCCTCTCCTGTTTTGGTATTCAAGGATGCCTGCCTGAGTCTTTACTGGCTCTATTTAAAGGCTGGAGGATGAAGTGCTTAAGTTGCAAAGGAAAAGTTCAATGGAACATATTTCCTGCAGCCATTATTTGGACAGTACAAAGGAGATAAATCAAAGAATTTTTGAAAACAAGTGTAATGACATATCAGTGGTGAAAAAGGATATCACAGGTCTTTTGTATTCATGGCTAAGTATACAACAGGAATTTTGGGGTGTCTAACCACAGTATTTTTTTTGGATGTTGAAACCCTCTTCTCTTAGTTTTAGTATAGCCCTATGTACAGTCTCTCAATGTACACGGGTAGATGCATGTTATGCGAGTTTTATATTAATACAATAAAATACTTTACCATTTCAAGAAAAAAAAAGGATTACAACTGTAATTAAAAAGGGGTTGCTTTTCTGTAGCTATGGGAAATCACTCTCTATCTTGTATTTAGATTTTTTTTTAACAAAGTAATAAAAGGTTCACGGTTACCAATCGAAAATAAAATTATAAGCTTCATATCGTATTATTTGGCCTCTTAAGTGTACATTTAGGACCTGTTTGTTTCCACTGAAGTCTGAAATCTAAATGCCTTTGAAGCTGTAATAATTACTTTTAGAGGTGTATTGGAGTTGGTGAACTTTTCTTGCTTCTGAAGTCTGAATTTAGAGTCTGAATTCTGAGTTCTGAAAAATGCGAATTGACTATTTTAACCCTAGATATAAGAAAGCTACTTTGACTTTTAACACATTACTTACCAATTAATTAAATAAATTAAAAATAATAATAATTAATTGTTAATGAAGTTAAAAATTAATATTATTAATTAAAATAGTAATTAATGCTTTATTAATAATTAATATTAATTATTTTATAATTAATATCATAATTATTTTTTTTGAGAAAATCTAACCAGAATTTATTGAGAAAAAAGGGGGGGGGGGAACGAGAGGAGATATACAAAGCAAGGGGGGAACCCCTACAAGTTACAAAGGAGGAAGCTTGTTGCTATACGGATGCTCCAAATACACACCAAATTTAGCTAGGCCACCTACAGTATGATTGAGATTTTAATAATTAATATATTTAAAATACATGATTTTTAATCAATGAATTAACTAATATTTAATAATTATGTATTTAATATTTAATGAACTAATAATGGAAAACAAAATATGTAGTTAAATAATACATATAATTAATAAAATAGTAATAATTTCTAAAAACTACTTCATTCTCAATATTTTATTTTTATTTTGTTATTTATTATTATTACTATTATTATTATTATTGTTGTTATTTATTATTATCATCATCATCATCATTGTTATTGTTGTATAGGGTCATCATAGCATACATAAAAGGCATAGTTTTCAAGGCGCCAAGGCGAGGCTAGGCGACCATGGGGTGCCTGGTCCTCGCTTAGGCGAGGCTAGGCGACTTGAACTAGTTTTTTTGGTTTTATGTATTCTGCACTTACTTTTGTGCTTGTATTTCTTGCAGTGTTGCTTCAAGTAGGCAAAACAATATATTAGAGTTGCAACTTACAAGTTAGATGTTAGAAGTTGAAAGAACTGAAGGGGGCGGAGCCCCTATTTTAGATAAAAAATACATAGGGAACAAATACTAAAATAACAGAAGAAAATGAAAAAGAATAGGGGGCGGA